ATTCGAGAACCAGCAAAGGAATAAATCTCACGTGGAGAATTTATAGTAACAGTTTGATTTCATGTAAGGTCGAAATTATACTAAACGGCTATTACACTTAAATACATTTCATTGTGTTGAGGAAAGGCTAACTTAGATTTTGATATAGAGCCCTAAAAATGCATGTAATATATTACGTCACATACAAATATTTGAATTTGGCGCACGCTTTAAAAATGAGTAAAAAATCGAGAAACATGGCTGATCAAATTTGTATGAAAACAATTGCCATTTTCCACAAAAATTACTAACAATTTCAATTTTAGTATTTCAACTCAACTTTAATATAATGTACTAGTATAAGTTAGCCTTTCGTGTTTCCTGGGAAGCGAAATAAGCATGAAACATTTAAAAACGTTTGACATACTTGACATCCTTTGGGAGTTCGTATTATAAAGTTGCATGGTCTTCGTTCGCTTTTGGAATATGCCTCGATTAAATAAATTAAGATCAAAGAGTTTGGGTTTTATGGTTTCTCATGCAAGACATTGTATACGGGCAAGGGGACATACTTTCTATGACAAATGAATAAATGTTTATCCAACAATTATGTTCTTCATTCGTTCTTTTGGCCAGGGACCGTGCTGCATGGGGTCTTGAAAAGCACGACGAATGAGCAATGTCTGATGGGGCACAGGCCCAGTGACGGATGGATCAAGATTGGGGAGGGGGGTATTACTGATCAAACATGATACATTTCAGTCGCTAATTGATCTTTTTTCCCCAAAATTGTTGGCGAGCAGGGGGTTACAAATTTTCCGGACATACCATATTTCACTAACTTTCGAATTAACGTACTGCAATTTGTTAAATTTTTCGATATCTTATATACACTAGATAGCGCATCTCTTTTAGTAAAACTGAAGCCAAGAATATTCCAGCTGTTACCCCCATTTGAATAGATGGCGGCCATGTTGGTCGTTCACACTCGCTAATAAACACTTAAAAACAACAATAACTTTCATCATTTGAATACTTTAAAAATGTATTTGGAATAGGGTTAATTAACTTAATATTTAAGTTCCCTGTTTAAGAAATAGGAAATATACGAATCTTCTCTCATTTCATGGGAACGACCT